AAGAAGAAAATATAGTTAGACTGCATGGCCTAGGAAACAGAAAGAATCAGGAGAATAATTTATCAGCAATGATTTCTTCATTGCTTATCTTCAAATGACCAAAATGATGCATATAATACCTGGACATTACCAGATGAAGTACACAAAAATCAAATTGATTATATTATTGGTACAAGGAGGTAGAAGAGCTCAGTTATGAACTTCCAAGTCAAGCAGAAGTGGAAGAACAAAGACAACCAGTCTCTCACAATATGATACATAAAACCACAATCTTTAATTGTTTTGAAGTCCTAGACCTTATTGATTTCATTTCATTCCTCTGATTCCCTGTCAAAGAATTTTTTAAAGAATAATATTAAGAAACAGAAAAAAACAAACTGGATATCAGAACAGAATGCTGATAGGAGAAGTTGTATTACAATGACATCTGTAATGACATCAAAGAGACAAAGAAAAACAAGCAGTTTTCCAAAAGATTTCCAAACACAGAGGGATCTTCCAACCTCAAATCTGAACATTGAAAAATGCTAATGTATGGACTGTAACAGTTTCAAAAAGATTAAATAATGATGGAAGTATACTGAAATTATTAATCATCATCATCTTTATTAAAGACTTACAGCCAAAAGACATCAACATCTGATACAGTAGGGATGTCAACATCCAAGATACTTTAGAGGATATTCCCTATTTCCAAGAATGCCTGGTTCTAACCAAATTATGCCAGAAAATTGAGAGAATGACACAGCAGCCAACAGACTGGAAAATATTAGTCTACTTACCAGTACCAAAAAAGGAGACTTAACAGAGTATGCAAACTATCATATAATTTCACATGCTAGCAAAATAATGCTTAGGATTATCCAACACAAATTAAAGCCCTACATGGAAAGGGAAATACCAGATGTTCAAGCTGGTTTTAGAAAAGGTTGAGGAACAAGAGACACTACTGCTGATGCACCCAGAATAATTGAGAAAGCCAAAGAATACCAAAAACAAGTCAATATGTGCTTCATTAACTATAAAAGGCCTCTGATTACACTGACCATGTTAAGCTGTTGAATGTTGTTAGGAAAATAGGAATCCCAGAACATCTCATTGCCCTATACAGATGGCAGGAAGCCACAGTCCAGACTGACAAAACAGACTGGCTCCAGGTTGGCAAAGGAGTGAGACAACTCTCCCCTTATTTATTCAATTATATGCTGAATATATATTGAGAGAGGCTGGATTGGAAGGACAAGAGCATGGTTTTAAAATTGGAGAAAGAAACATCAATAACCTGCACTATACTGATAACACTATTCTACTAGCTAAATGCAAATGATTTGCAAGTTCTAGTAATGAAAGTCAAGGAGCAAAGTGAAAAAAACAGGATTAATGTATAATGAAGACCAAACTAATGATGACAGGCCCAGCAGCCAGCCTTAGAATTGACAATAAAGATATTAAAGTGGTGGATAGCTTCTGCCTTTGGGGATTCACTATCAAAAGTAAAAGAATTAGCAGTCAAAAATACACCACAAACTAGCACTTGATAGGGTAGCAATAAAGGCCATGAAAAAGATATTCAGATGCCATGATGTGCCTGTACCTGCAAAGATCAGAATCTTACAGGCAATTATTTTCCCTGTAACACTCTACTGTATGGAAGTAAGAGTTGGACTTTGAAGAAGCAGGATAGAAAGAGTATTGACACTTTTGATCTTTGGTGTTGGAGAAGACTCCTGAGAATACCATGGATAGCCAAGAAAACAAACAAATGGATCTCAGAACAAATTAATCTAATCTAAACATCTCACTTGAGGCACAAACAACCATGTAAACATTATCAAGTGTTTTGGACACTTTATACAAAGAGCCAACTCTCTTGAGAAATCTATATACTGTATGCTGGGAATAGTGGAAGGATTGTCATTGGAATAATTTCTATTTATATACAGCATGACAACTCTGGCTGATATTTAACGTAGTCCAAAATATGCCTTGTCAATTTTAGAAAATATGTCAACATTATTTGGGAATAATGCACAAGTTATTTTTAACAAGTTTATAAATACAACCAATCCAATAAGGGTTCAACTGGCTAAAAGATACCTTTCAAAATTAATTAACCAAAGTTAAATAAAGAGATTGCAGAGAAATTGAACAGATTCTGTGGTTTATTTGTTCCACATGCTAAGCCAAAAACCTCAGTTTAACAGGCACATAGCTACCATTATTTTACTCTCCACTGCATGATGCATTTTTATCAAACTTTGAGCCTTACATCCAAACCTGAAATACAACATTTTGTGTTTATGAAAATGAGAATTTGAACCTATGACAAACCTTGGTTATGAAGTTCAGTTTGGATAACTGCATAGTTTCAGAATACAGAGAGCTGGGTTAAACTGCATCACACAAGGAAAGAGGGGATGGTGGTTTACTTGCATGCATTCACTAAGCATTTTGGCAAACGCAGCCTTTGCACCTATTTTCACCTGTTTTCACTGTGAAAGATACAGGGCAAATTCCCTTGCCTTAAACCAGTATTTTCAGGATATCAGGAGAGCTGAGTTAAATAATGATAGGGAATAAAGTTCTACAGCTTTTTAACAAACTATATATTTGCTCCAGTTCTTATCTATATAAACAGAACTAATTTTGTAACAAAATATTTTTGTTATATTTTGTTACTAATGGCGAGAGTGTCCACAGGGGGATCAACAGCATTAAAATAGAGGCTGCGACTGGACAATCAAAGCCCTGCCCCTTTCTATGTGGATGCAATGTGTGTGACCTATACTAAAAAGAAGCAGGGCTTCAATCTTCCAGTTATGCCCACCATTTTGATGCCACTGACCTACCCACACAGACAGCCCTGCTGGTGGCCTGTGCAGAAACAGAAAGAAGTCAGTTAAACAGTGATCCAGGAAGATGCTGATTTTTTTCTTCCTAACAGATTAGATTATCTTGTTTCACATAAAGGAAAGGGTTATTGGCAACAAAACATTTGTAAAGACTGTGATGATTCTTCCTCAACAAATATAAGCCCTATCTCACTGATATTTTAATGTATTCTGAAAGCATTAAAAAGTATGTGGATGGATGATATGGGAGACCCTATGTACTTGAAGATTTTTTAGAAATCTTTTGGCAAAATCTTTCACCAAAGGCTTTTGAATACATTTAGTAGCCATAAGATAATAGAAAATAAATATATGATTTTTAAAATGGGAAACAGTATGACTAAACGGCCAGTTTTTGTAATGGAGGCATATCAGAAGTGGGTAGAGGGCAACCTCCAAAGATCCTTTTTAGGCCTGGTGCTTTTTATAAACTATTTGAAGTTAAGACTAACCAATAATATGGCCAGGTTTGCAGTTGGTACCAAATTTATACAGAATAAAAACAAAACATATTATTGCAAAAAGCTCCAACTAAGAACATCAGGCAATAAAATGGAAAATCTGGTTCAGTGTAAGTAACTATATGCACAGGAACAAAATCCGCAAGTCTGCATATACAATGATAGTGACTAACCAGGAAAAAGATCTCTAGGTCATGGCAGACAGCCTAAAGGAAGCAATGTAAAAGCTGAGGAAAACATTTAAAAGATGCATATTAATATCAGATTTGGTCATCCTATCCATACTTACAATTTATTTCACTAATGTTTATGTATGGGTAGTTTGATGTTGAAATACTATACATTGTGAAATACTGGAAGGAAAAAAATCATCTTTCAATGCTATGACCAATGGAGCAAAAATTCAATTCAATGGCAAGCCACTAGTGACTACCAGATTGAAGCAGTCAGTAGCTTCAATGTTTAACAATAAAAATAATTTGGTAATTAATAATTAGTTGTTTGATAAGTTGAATGACCATATCAGGACACATCAAGTATCAACTAACAAAATCTTTGAAAGGTATCAATATACCAAACTACAGAGCAGAATACATTCAGAGAAATGCATCACCTTTGCATGTTACCCCAATCTGTTCTATAAAACAAGCTCTAAGAAATGAGTTACCAGCTCACTTCCTTCCAATCATTTAACATAACCTAAGAAAAAACACTACAGAATTCCTGTGACACAGGAATCGTCGTTCAGGCAGCTCACGAATGGCAATACATCACTTATTACAAGTTTTCACTTTCCCTTTTTCCTAATTTGGAAAGTTAGGAAGTGAAGTTGTAGGTACTGGGTGAAATCAAAATATTATAATATTCCTCAGCCTACACATGAAACCTTGTGTTCTGAAATATCCCTCAGCCAAGAACTCACTGAATACAACCTTTGGCCCATGCTATCTCACAATCACATTGCGAGAGAAAGACGCTAAGGGAAGCAGAAATGGGACCCTGCTGAACACTTGGAAAAACACCCAGAAATTGTTAATACAGGTCTACGACCCAGGCGACGAAAAGGAGGCAGCCCACGTGGGAGCACGGGCACCTTCGCACCCTGCATACGCGCACTCTGTACACCGAATGCCACGAACGTGCGCCAGGGGTCTCGGCGTGCCTGCATGTCTTCCACTGTGCAGGTTCCTCTCTGACCCACGAGAAAACCCTGAGGGAGAATGAATCGGAAAAGTACGTCCGCCGCCTTGACTTATACATTAAAAAGGCGGGAAATAAACAAACAAACAACAATAATGGCCCGCTGAATTTATAATCAGTCTAACCAGAATGGCACTCTAACAAATACGATCACGCTGCCCTTCCTCTCCTCCCACCCTCCCTTTCCTACCTCGCACCGCATTGGAAATTCCACTTTCGTTTTTTGTATATACAAATTGTGTATGTTTGTGTGTTTATATACATATATATACGCACACACAAACATTTGGGATCGTCTTCTTTTTTATTTTTTTGATCAACTAAGAAGAACCTACCGCCGTCATCCCCACCCCAAGCTTAGCGGCTGTCACTCTCCCTTCTTCCAATCACAACATCGACGCTTTCCCGTCGGGGCCTCTCTTCCGCCCAATCAGCAGGAGCCTAGGGCTCCTCTTTGTTTCAGGTCCCGCCCCCTGGTTACCGGAAGTGTGATGTGGCTCGTGGCGGCGCGTAGCTATGGTAAGAGCGGCGTTGGGAAGACGGGTTTCTCGTTTGGAAACCCGGGTCGGCCGTCCTTGCGGCTCCTTTGGCGGCGCGCGCGGGACAGCGCGACCGTCCTTGGGAATGGCCCGATAACACGTGTGGAGGGTCGCTCGGGTCCTTCCCCAGCGTAGCGTCGTCGCCTTTGGCGTTGCGAAAGCGGCCTAGCTGGCGTCGTCGTGAAAGGTGATGTCTCCCGTAGAGCATCACTCTTTGCTCCTCCCCGTCTCCTCCTTTGTGTAAACTCGGTGGCGAAATCTTCGTTCGCCAAATAGCCTGGCTAGTTTACGGCTCAGGGTTTTGTGCGAGCCTCGCCCGTGTGTTTAAGTTGTAACAAAGTACTGAGAAACTCCGTGCACCTCGGTTAATTCAGCACACCGCGGTTCAGTGTGGATAAATGGGTTGTGTGGACACAACCGCTTTATATACGTAATAAATAAAGTATTTGTTGTTTAATGCATACCTTACCTCTGTGCCTGCTGCTTTTATATTAACTGGTCAAGGAAGTGTGATACCTTTGTTTTATTTTTCTTTAGAAAATTGCTTTCGTGTTTAGTATTAAAGCACTTGTCAGTTGCACAGTTCTTGTAGATAAGACAAAGGTTTCACATTTTGATTCTATTTATTACCTCTTTGGTCTCTGTTTGGTGACCTAGCAAATATTTATTACATAGACTTATACACCCCTTCTGTAGACTCGGGGCACAACATTTAGGTACCTTTTTGAAGATTGTTGTTTCTATAAAACACCAAGCAGTATATCCATTGTTATTTATTTATCGAGCTTGTACCCTGCTGCAATCTGATGATTCTCCGCACCTTGTGGAGTGTGCAATGTGGTAACAGTTAAAAATGGTTAATATGGTTTTAAGAAAAAAATGACATAACCCCCCAACAAAGACAGAATAACAGTCAGCAAAAACAAAAGAATAAAAGGTGGTGCAGTACTTGTTAAGAGGAAGCCCTCCAAAATAATACGTAAAATGTTAGAATCAATAATTGTTAGTAATACAGCGTAACACATATTTTACATGGAGATAAATTGTACTGCATTAAGTTCTGTGTTCTTCCATTTATATTTAAAATCAGTTTGCATTGTATAATCTCTTACGTGATGCCTCCTTTTATTACACCTAGGACAAAACAATAGAGGAAAGAAAGGCAGTGATAGAGAAAGAATTGTGACAGTTACCAGTTTTATTTAATTACATACTTAGTTGCAGCATAGTAAGCAGAAGCTACATGGGAAATAATAGGTACTGAGCACAGAAGTTTCTAAAAGAAGAAGAAACACATCAGGTAGCAAGGAGAATGGTCTTTTGAAAGAGATCCTTGGAAGAACTGAGAATTGTTTTGCAACATTGGTTGTAGGAACTACTTTTCTAGATCTGGTCTAGAAAAATAGCCTTTTTCATTTTTACACTATGGCTACTTTGCACATCATGGTAAATGAATTGTTTCATTTAAATGAAGGTGTTTTGAAGGGGTCTGAAGACCTGGCTCTTCACCAGGCCTTTGGTGAGGATGACTGAAGCCTCCTTTTAAACCTAGGTTGTTTTCTTTTGCTTCCATCAGGTTTGTTATGCTGTCATCTCTACCTTTTTGTTGTTGTTTTTATTCTCTTGTTTTTACCTTTTAAATAATTTTGTATGACACTCTACTGTTTCAGTACTGTGTCCCAGCCCACAGTCGCTGGGAGTTGGGCGGCATATAAATTTAACAGGTAATAGTAATAAATCCAGATTGTCAAGTGTGGACTGCTCAGTTATTCTCACTTGATTTCTGCCAAATGGGAGTAGCTAAAGAAACCTGAAGGTTCCTTACATAGTTTATCACACTGTGTGAATTGAGAACTCTGGCTTGCTCTTCATATTAGAGTCTGAAGTCACACCTTCAAATCCCTGCTTTGTTTTGGAGGCATGAGACAGGAATCCCAATTTCCACATTATATGTTCATTATTAAAAGTAGAATCCATTATGAGAGTAGACAAACCTGCTATACCAAACGAGACAACCAGTCTAGCTAGTGATAGTATCAATGGTATTAACTGGCAACAATTCCTCAAGGTTTAAGGCAGAAATCAACTCAGCCTTTCTGAACCCAAACTATAGATGTCAAGGATTAAAACTGAGCCTTTCTGCACATAAAGCATGCCCTATGCTCTCCAGGTTTACATCTAAATTATGGGTGACTTCATTCACTCTGTACTGCACTTTGAGATACTGTTTCAGTGAAATCAAAATCTGCCCTTTTCTCATAACTAAATGCAGTCATCTCTTATTGACAGGACATGTTAAAGGGTATGCACTGCATGCCTTTTAGATTCACTGTGTCCCAAGTTTTCCTTAAAATGCACAAGTTTGTAATATCAAAACATGGTTTCCAACAAATGCTTTGACTATTGAAATGGAGTATAAATTATGCTGAAGACTTTAATTTGCAAAACAAGTAATTTATGAATGGATGATCTGGTATTTTCAATAATACCTGATTTTGAAAAAGAAATCATCTAGTACTTCTTTGTTACTTGCTTTAGGCAGCATGGATATATTGGAATTAGAATGAAAATTAGTAATAGGCTGTTAAAATTCTTATTTTTCTATTTATTTCTGGGAAGAGGGATAGGTATACAATAAAGAACTTCTAAAAACTGACTAATAACAATATTTTATATCACATTTTCTTTCAGTCTGCAATCTTCAATTTTCAGAGTCTTCTGACGGTAATCTTGCTGCTTATATGTACATGTGCATACTTAAGGTCTTTGGCTCCCAGATTACTGGATAACAATAAAACAGGGTATGTGAATTTCTAGAAATTTGGGGAAAGGATATGCATGTAAGCTTGCTTGTTTTTAATCTTAGTATATTGATTTTCTTTTGAAATGGATTCATTGATACTAAGCATTGTTAATCCTTGAAAGCTTAATTACAGTGTAATTCATTTACAATCACACAACATTTTCATTTTTTTTTAAATGGAGCCTGCCTTTCTAAGAAGCTATGAGATTTCACTATTTGGAACATTAGAGAAAAGAATTTGAAAATTAATGTCATCTCCTAGTATTCTATATGGTTTTTTTATTATTATTTTATGGGGGTTTTACAATTCTGTGGTTTTATTTTACATTTTTATGGCTGTAAATAGCTGAAAGCTAGTTTGAAGATGGCAGTGTACAAATCATGTAATAGACATATAAAATAACTTACACTTTAATACTTATTCAGTAAGACACTAATTAAGCTAAAACGCCCAATCTAAAAACCCTCTTTCTAAATAAAACTTCCTTACATATCATTTTAAAGTGGGCAATAAAAGTAATATATCCTTCCTAGGCAGTTCATTCCATATTTTTGGCACCATGCCCTTTCTTTGAACCTCAGAAGGACTTTAAGAATGATTGCAGAAGCTAAATCGAATTTCCAAGCAACCTGATATGAAGCAAAACAAATTCCTTTGTCCCAGGCCATTAGGGCTTTAAAAGCCAAATAAAAATTTAGCCAGAAATGTAATTTGATGTCTTTGTATTTACAAATTAATATATAATTTTACTATATTGCAATTATTAAATAATTTTCTCTAACTATAACATTGAAAATAAAACATTGGCTACAACTTTTGGAAACCTCTGGGGTCCACACCTAATACTTTCATGAACCTCAGGTTGTACACCTCTGTTATATCAGGTGACTTGTCTTTATTGTAGCAACTGGCTTATATCCATTTTTGAGCTAATTGAACAAACTCAAGATGTACAGGGCAATACTTAAAATTGTACATTGTGCCCCTTGTTATGTCATACATAGTTTGGTAGAAGCATATTTATGATATGTTAACATTTCAGTGTTTTCTGTGATTTGTAGAGAAGCATTTTCTTTATGTATTAAGTTTGTTGTTTATTTGTGGAATTGTGGCTGTTGGCCCCAAATGTTTTATTTGCTTGAAAAGTTAATTTCTTTTCTTGTTTAGATAGAATTTCTTTTATAACCTTGTACTCTCCCAGTGCAAAATTAAGGTATCACTTGATCCCATAGAACCTTTCCCTTAATGAATGCGGTTTTGCTGTGGACAATCTTTTATTATAATTTTTTGTGTCTGATACAAATTGCAGGATTCTATACTGTTGCTGAATATTAATACGGCTGTATCAAAAGCCATATTATATGCAGGCTAATGCTATGATTTGATTGATGCAAACCCATATTTATTGAGTGATTTTTATACCAATTTTCATTTATAGTTTGGGAAAAAGATCCTTCCCATCTGTAAGATTAAAAAATGAATCAGAATTTATAAAATTGCAACTATTTCTGTATGTTCGGGACTTCAAGACTGCATGCTCAGTTATGTTTGTAACGGAAAGAAATTCAAAAGCATTTTGTGAGCATGAAAAAAATCAACAGACTTACACTTCCTTAAAAATAGGTATTGGGATATTCGTTATTACTATATACTATACAAAATAGGTATTGGAATATTCATCATTACTATATTGAGATATTTGTCATTACATAATTCATCATTACTATTGTATCTGTTTAATTTGCATTTAATCATAGCGAAAATATGAAATTATTTTTCTTATATATTTTCAGATTATTGGGCATATTCTGGAAGTGTGCCAGGATTGGTAAGTAGTTGTCTTGTTTCTAGTTACCCATGCATATGCCAGTGCATATACACTGTTGTTGAATATGTATAACATTTAAGCATGTGTACATTTGCTGAACAAATAACAAGTAAGCAAGTTGCTTATTTCCAACTGTATAGATGGCATCTTCATGTTCTTATTTGCAATTTTATCCTTGGTAAACAGATAATACAGAGTTACAAATGTGAACTTTGCAAATATATGAGCAGACAATTCCCATTTACAAAGTTTTTACTGCTGGATTTTTTTTCCTAGTCAATAAAATATGTATCTTTTTATTTTTATTATGCAAACTAATAAAAGAAAGTACAACTGAATTTAACAGCATTAAGGATAAATGCAAAATAATAAGCATAGCAATACAAAAGGGGGGAAGGGGAAAAGCCCTGAAATATAAACAGAACAACCACAAAACTGACCATATTGCTTGAGTTCTTTGGCCAGTATTGTATAATAATTATTTTGACCAAACCTCATGCCTGAATAATCCACAATTTTTGATATCTTGATAAATTCCAGTACAGCAGATATAGCCAAGGAGAACATATGTGTCTTTAACATACAGCAATCAATCCACAGGCATATGTACAGTTTGGTTGATGTCAGCATCAAACACTGCAGCAAGAAGGCAAAATCAAACTGTATGCCAAGATAACCTCATCCTTAAATTTTCAAAATTGTTATTCTGACCCACTGAAATTAAGTCTGATTTCCTTTGATTTATAGAAAAACTAGATAGGATCCTGAATTTGTGTATTAATGAGACAGATTTCTGGTCTATTTTTAAAACATGAGATATTAAAGTATATATAATAAATTCTTGGACTCTATCCCCTTTGCAATAAGTCGATTGATATCAGAATTTGTAATTATTGTGTGATTTAATTTGCGTGCGTTAAAGCAAGAACATCACTTAAAAATCTGGTATTTTCAGAAGCTTAATGAACCCTGTATAAATCGCCCTGCAACATACAATATGCAATGATACTATAATTGGCAGAATATTTTTATTTATTTTTTTATATTTTAAATTTGTCACTGCCTGTCTCATCACAGAGACTACTGTATTCTGTTATCTAGAAGCCAAAATACTGATTATAATCATGGCATCTGTATCTATTCAAGGAAGTAGATATGCAGATAGAAGAGGTAGTAAGGTCCTTGCGTAGGCTGTGATGTTTGCCACATTAATACTAAAAAGCTTTTTTTTATTATTTGAAACAACTTCCCTATAGATGCTAATAAAATTGGAAACCAAAACCCAATATACTTTTCATACCAAACAACTGGAAAACCATTAAGACCAGGAGTCTTCCCCACTTTCATGTACATAATTGTAGTGACAATTTCCTGAAGCAAAAGAGGTAAAATACACTCACTAGGCTTAGATCCCTTAACTGGGATCTATATACGCTTTCCCATCTATATCCCAAATAGAAGGTATAATATTATGTTGCTTAATTTTGTTTAGACCTCAATAATTTACTAAATTTCTTTCCCTTATCCCAATATTGTTATTTACACATTTTTGAGGTGGGGTTGTTGGTGTTTTGGATGCAATTTAAATATAGTAGGGATGGATAAAATATAAGGGGTTTTTTTTCCCCCTCACTGTTTTCAGCATTAATAATATCAAATGGCAGTATTCTTTTGTAACATGAAATATTAAAGGACTGGGATTTCCCGCTAAATGTTGACAGGTCTTACTAGGTTTAAAAAAATAGGAACTGAATGCGTTTTTTGCAGGATACTCAAAATTTGTCTAAAAACATATTTTACAGAATGGGTGAGTGAAGTTTAATATATAGATTTTCTGAGTTGATCATTAAAAAATATTAGATGTGGAACTTGCTGACTTTAATGTATCTTTGCTAAATGATAAAGATTTTGTTAAGTGTTATCAAATACTGATTTCATTTATCAGCCTTTGGTATGGAACACTGCTAAATCTTTGGTTGCAGGTCACATTATTACATGTGCTTCGATTTGTTAAAAATAAATTTTAGAGGACAAAGTTTAGAAAAATATTATTGCTTTATATACAGTTTTTTGCTCCAATTTTATTGGGGATGTTTTAGCAAGATTACAAAAAATGGAGTACAAACATACAAAAAATAAAATGAAGGAAGGGCAAGGTAAAAACATGACAGATAATTATAAGAAATAAAATATATTTAAAATAGAAATTTTTACAGAATGCCTGATGATGATTTTGCCTCAGTTAAATTATATTTCTAACACAAAATCATAGTTAAATATGATTGAAAGTTTCAGTACTACAATCTCCCAGAGTTTTTGTTTTGCAAGGTAGTAGTCTGTAGGCATACGCGCACACACATCCCTCTATTCATTCCATGGAAGAGGGAAAAGGTGGTACACCATCTCTTTCTATCTTTGCCCTTCTCTGCCACATATACAGGAATGGGGAAGATCAGAGTGGAGGAAAGGATTAAACAAATTGTCCTAAAACAGCAGTTTCCCAATGTTCAAAGCAGCCTAGTGGACTTGCTGTTTTGCAAAACAAGTACAAGTGTCTTTCTTAAAAATCCAGATTTCTAAGTATTTAGACCTTCTGATTATTTTAACACTCTATATAAATCTAAATTTTCATTAATGTAAAATTCAACTCTGCTACTTTTATTTAAGTAGTCTTTTGGGTGTTCACACCTTTCAGACAAGCTGTTGCCTATTTGTAAAGTATTGTTAACAGACATGCAATCCTAATGGATGATGGATACTTCTTTCAAGAAAATTAAGAACAGAAAACTTCAACACTCATGAAAATTGTGAGGTGGACTTGCTCAACATTAATTCTAAACAGATGTGAAACTGCACGTGTTAATTCATTTAGCTATTTGCAGTTTAATTACATATCAGATGATGACAATGTCTTGTAACATTGTGGTAGCCTTACTTAAAGGGAAGAATTGGTGAACTGTTTCTGGCTATGGAAAGATTAGTTGTTGAGAAGAATAAAATTATATTTACTTAGTGCACTAATATTTGAAAAGCTTAAACTGTTTTTATCAGGCATTGAGGTCTTTCTTTAATTAAAGAAAAATATTTTAAGTATTACCAGTATGCTACTTAATTTATCAAAAGAACTTTTGACATTGTCAAGTACTGAACGTCAGGTGGTAAATTCATATTCTTTTGTGCAATGGAATGTCTTTTACTAGTTATGGAAGGACTGGGTTTCAGAAGAATTATTGGATTCACTGTTACAATATTTTCACCTGAATGTGCCACCAGCCATTCTTTTTCTGTATTCTCTCGCAGACCTAGTTAGTAGTAGTTTATTTCATTCAAACTAGGAAAAAAAATGCTTGCTTGTAATAAAGGAGATAGTAATTCAGTATTGTTTCTTCTTCCAGGTGAACGGAAGAGCCCTTATGTAGCAATATGCTGTATTGCAATGGCCTTCAGTATTCTGTTTGTACAATAAAAATGGGAAAATGTTAAGAATATACTGCTGTCAATTTGCAATCAAATAAAAGACTTGAAGAAACTGAAGACAAAAATACGTTCTACACCTCAGTTTGTTATGTCTGTTTGGACAAGAAAGGCTTTTGACTCTGTGTTTCAGTATTTTTGGTTAAAGAGCAGTGATGTTGAAAGAAATATAGTTATTAATCCTTTTGGTTGGATAACATTCATTTATGTTAATTATTCTAAATTTCAGTAAAGCCTTAAGACTACAACAGTGAGTTATGTCTGCCAGAGTTGATTTGATGTTAAACCCAAAACCCTTTTAAATACTTTTTATTTAAAAGTTTTTACTTTTTTCATATCAAAATAGGAATAAGAGAAATAAAATCTTAAACTGTAGATAAAGAGAAAGTAACGTATCATAATAGAAAACAAATATGTTAAACTATGAGGGAGACAGAGTTAAAGTTAGAAAGACTATTTGGAACAGAAGATTTCAATTAAGTTCAGTTTCATTAGAGCTTTTCTAATTGTTCTGTTTATAGGTTTTACAAATTATAAAATATCTGCAATAGAAAATAATTTTACAAAGACAATTCTGTTCTGTTATGACTTCATTAAACAAATGCTTCTCTGTAATATGGCCAACCGTTAATATTTATGCTTCACCTTGATTTTTAGTAAACAATTTATATAAAGTTGCTTATTGCTGCAGACTATTAAATTCTAGAACTTAAATCTCATGTATGTACTTCACTTACCTATTGAAATAAAATACAATCTGGATTTTTTTTCAGAAACATCTGAATACTGCCTTTTAATTATTTCACCAGTATTTAATTATCTATCAGGATTTTCATTATAGGGCTACAAAAATTGAAAGAACAATTAATACTGGTTTAGTGTTAGCTGAAATTAATTATCAAATCTGGTCTCCATTTGTCTGTTACCTACTTCTGTATCAGTATAACTGCATAACTAAATACTCCTTTGGCTTTTAACTTACTTCACAAATCATGAGAAATATTTTATGATCCTTAAATATATTTTTGTACAAATTATGTTCTATAGTTCTATCATGAGAATTGTGTTATGAAGTATTGATTTTTTAAATTATTTATATACAGGTGGTCCTCATTTAACACTCACTTGTTCAGTGACCATTTGAACTTGTGATGGCGCTGAACAAGTAGTACTTATCACTGGTCCTCAAAATTTAAGCTGTCACAGCACCCCCACAGTCATATGATTCCAATTTGCGACCTTGCCTGCCAGCTTCCCACAAGCAAAGTCAGTGAAGAAGTTGGCAGGAAGTCAGAAGTCATGATCATGTGAGGGCCTTTCTTAACAACCCCTGTGATCCTCACTTAATGATGGTAACCAGGACTGCCGGAACTGCCATCGCTAAGCAGCATGGTCACATGATGTCATGCTTTACGATCGCATCGCTTAGCAACAGAAATTCTGATGCCAATTACTGTTGTTAAGCAAGAACTACTTGTAGATTAATCTGAAGGAACATGAGAAGAATAAAGCAATATTGTTAAGTATATGATGGTAAATGCTAACACTGAAAATGATACAGCCTGGTGTTATATTGGAAAGGGGTGAGTGGAGGGATTTAATGTTTGCTAATTTTTATAGGTAGTGTTTGGTTAGTGACTGACTCGTTTAGCAACCCTTTGCAGTTACAATGGTGGTGAAAAAGTAACTGCAATCAGTCCTCGCATTATGACCTCTGCAGGTCTCTAAAGCAAAGGAAAGCTGAAGTACGTTCATAAGGACAGTCACGGTTTCACTTAGTGAAATGACTGAGTTGCCAGTCATAATTGTGGTCACTAAACGAGGACTACCTGTTATTAAGATGTAAATTTAATTCTGAAATTAGAGGTGTCAGCATAATGACTGAGTTGCCAGTCCCAACTGTGGTCACTAAACGAGGACTACCTGTTATTAAGATGTAAATTTAATTCTGAAATTAGAGGTGTCAGCATAATGACTGAGTTGCCAGTCCCAACTGTGGTCACTAAACGAGGACTACCTGTTATTAAGATGTAAATTTAATTCTGAAATTAGAGGTGTCAGCATAATGACTGAGTTGCCAGTCCCAACTGTGGTCACTAAACGAGGACTACCTGTTATTAAGATGTAAATTTAATTCTGAAATTAGAGGTGTCAGCATAATGACTGAGTTGCCAGTCCCAACTGTGGTCACTAAACGAGGACTACCTGTTATTAAGATGTAAATTTAATTCTGAAATTAGAGGTGTCAGCATAATGACTGAGTTGCCAGTCCCAACTGTGGTCACTAAACGAGGACTACCTGTTATTAAGATGTAAATTTAATTCTGAAATTAGAGGTGTCAGCATAATGACTGAGTTGCCAGTCCCAACTGTGGTCACTAAACGAGGACTACCTGTTATTAAGATGTAAATTTAATTCTGAAATTAGAGGTGTCAGCAGTCAGTGGGTTCATTTACTTTGCAAGCTTTGTGAAATAATCCTGCATGCAATATTTGCAGAGTAAAAAATATAACAAATGTGCAGCGTGCTCACTACAGCTTGTGCTATATGAAGTTCCTCAGAAGTTTACCAAGTTGGACTAATCATAATTGGCATTTGTCTACATTTTTTGTGTTTTCTTTTAAAGTCTGGTGGTGAAGATAGTGATACTAAAAAAAGTTCTGGGTTTTTTTCTCCCTAAATCTATACGCAGAGAGGGTCTTGCATTCCAGGTATTTGTAAGGATTTTACAGTACTTCTCTGGAAAATATATTATTTTTCTTGAATAATTAAGTCTGAAATGGGAAGAGTATCTTACATTCCTTGAACAGAACCTCACTGAGAGTGAGGACTCTAGAATAATGTGTGAAGTGCATACTGGTTGCTTTTTTCCTCTTGTATCTGTATTTTTAGATCTTAATACTTAGAGCATTATACTTATTTTTAGTTATTGTAAATTACTGTGATAGTCTACTTTGACTAAACAACAATCCTTTAAAAAGTTCTTTAAAAACAAGAACATATTTTCAAGGGAACCAGTAACTTAAGTGATTTATTGGAAGATTTAGAAGCTTAATGGTGAAAAAAAAAAAACCTTTCAGAACTATCATAACGTTTTCTTATTTTCAAATAACATGGTCTTCAACAGCTCATGCCATCAGAGTTTTTGGGATTATAATCCAAGCTAACATGTCTGGAAGATGTCTGGCTGGGGTTTGGATCTTACAACATCTTAATGTAAAAACTGTATCATGTAGTAAATCTGTTTGAAGGAGAAATGCTCATGTAACTCCTTTACAATTTGAATAATTAGCAGGATTAGAAGCCAATGTTGATAAATTGTTTGCATGCTAATCTGCATAGTATAATCATAAAGAGTTACAAAAACAGCTTCAAGAATCTACAGAACTTCATATTAGTTGAGTAGGAATAATTATTACAAAGGGTGGCAGCAAAGAAATAGTTATTTACCCCTCTTTTGTAAAAGATAAAAAATAAGTTGTGACAATTTCTTCATCATTGTTTGATAGAACTATAATTAAAATGAATAGTCTTACTAATTTTTTCCTAAATCTTTTGTATTATTTGGTTTCACACATGGAAAACAACTATTTTGCAATTTTCACCTAAGTATTTAAAAACTATATGAGATTAATCATATAAGCAAAGTAAAATAATAAATGTTCAGTGAAAGATCATTTTTCATTTTATTTCCTGTGTGAAAGTTTTATTGTAAATGGATTTTATATTTACAAGGGAGGAGAGACAGTCCTAATTCAGCAACATTTTCCAATTTAGTAATATGAATAGCTCTTTCTTTTCATTGCTTCCTTTGTTTTTTTCCTTCACTCTTTTAAAAAAAAGTACCCATTTTATAGGTGAAATACTGGAATGGAATCAATTGGAATGTAGTAGATGGGAAAACAACACAAATTTATGAATCATGATGTGACTTCATGAAAATGTAACAAGATGGAGATTGTATTTTTGAATGTTTAACTTTGCAGAAGAATTGCAAGAAAATAAATTGGTCATCTTAAATGGATACATATTACAAATGAATTACAAATGAATATGTTACATTTACTACTTGCATTTTTTTGAACTGATTCCTCTGCTTCTTGCTCAAGCTGCACTTTTGCGCCTCTCTTCTTTAATTTGTAAAAACTAGACAACTGGCAGGTTTTAGTTTTTTTGGAATAAAATGCAAAAAGAGAAAATGTTCAGTTTGTTAACAAACCACCTGGTCTGAAAGATAATCTGTGAATATCACGTGTTTGGAAAAATATACCCTTTCCTGTAGCCAAATTTATGAAGAGATATGACCATATGGGACTTTGCACATCAGAGAAAAAAATAACCAAGTTTGGAAAAGTTAACATCTTTGGTTCCATCATAATTATAGTTTAGAGGGGGGAAGGAAAATCAGTTTTATGTGAAGGAGAAATGAATGTTTGGTTTCACCCTTCCGTCTGACCCCATATTCCCTTCCTTATTTGTTTGGACCTAAGTCTGCCACACTTGAGCACCTGTTTCCTGTAACAACCGTTACGGGCCATTGAAATGGATTTTGTGTGTGTGTGTGTGTGTGTGTGCGCGCGCGTGCATTTTCTCTTACTATTTCTCAGATGGGAGATGATGAACTTTTTAAAAAAAATCCTTAGACTTGAAAAAAATGATTCAGTACGTGTTCATGCTATTTTAACTGAAGTCAAGAAGTTATTCCCTAATCTCACACATTTTGAAAAATATATGAAA